TAGGAGACAATGCTTAATATAAGTCCTTTCTGATATCGACATCGCACCTTGTGATTGAGTTGTAAGTTGTCTCATGGATACCTGATGCTTCCATACCAAGGAATGATGGCTAGTGGTGTGCTTCTGGACATCTGAATCTCTCGTTTCCAATGGTGATGACTTCACCATTTGATAGTTAATGTGATTTCTTAAATTCTAATGATTGGGAAACCTTCTGCATTTCTCTGTTGATGTCAAGAGCAATGTAGTAAACACTAATCTGTGTTTGTAGTTCACAAAATAATTAGTATATGTTTTTTATTTTTATTTATAAACATGGAAAACAAGTCTTTTGTTTTTAATTTATTACAATGAATGGAACACAATTACGTGTACTTTCAGGAAATAACGATAAAAACACAAGAAAAAATAAGAAAATTTGCAACAATTTGTCTTGGATTATTATGTTGGTTAGTAGTGTTTTTATTTGAACTTTAAATTCGATTGTAATCCATCTCTAATTATTCGACTCTATTTAATTCTTCTTGTTTTTTTGTCAAGTATGTTTCTGTTTTTCGATAATTATTTTTATTTTTATATACAACAACATTATATTACCATTTATTGAAATAAATATATTATTTAAATAATTATTGATAGTAGAAGAAAAATATAATCAATACTAAACACAATCATGTTAAAAAACCGATTTTCTTAAAACTTTTATCAATTGTGTTGTTGTATTTATATAAAATATTATAATAGTTTACTAATAAGTTTTTATTATAATTATTATATTAAAGTAGTTGTGTATATATTAAAAATACGACAAAAAAGTTGTTTTGATTATTTTGTTTTAATTGAAAAATTTGAATCATTTTTTATTTTTTGATAAATTTCAAAAAGTAGCAATAGTATATTTTTACAATAATTTATTACTTATTGTAAATTATTGTATATTAATTTGGATACAAGACAACAAAAAAAAATATTTATCCATCAAACATTTGAAAATAATTCCACTCAATGAAACATAAAAACAAGCTAATAATTCAAATTTAAATTAGTTTCACTAATAAATATAATCAACAATAACAATGAAAATTAGTTATAATTTGTATTATTTTAAAATAAATATAATCTAAAGTATAAATTAAATTTATAATGAATTTTTAATTAATTTAAATTATTCTTATATAATACTATAATATTTAAAAATATTATTCATTGATCGTTTTTAATAGTAATATTATTATTTATTATATATATGTAAATCATTGTAATATTATAATATGTTAAATTAAAACAATAAATTTCTATCGCAAACATTTTTATCGAATTAAAAAAAACATAATCCTTATGCAAGAAGACGAGATTGTTTGCACATTTAAATGGAAGAAAGAAGGAGAAGCACCAAAAAGCTCACGACACGTTAAACCTTCGCCTGCTCCAACTTACTCGTTTGATCCCAAAGGAAGTAATTTAACTGAAGTTGAGTGTTTTAGGTTGTTTTTTTGTGAAGAGATAGCAAATAACCTTTTGTTGTTTTCAAATAAAAAAATAGCCAAAGAACATAAGACTGATGATAACAAACTTTCTAAAACTAGCATCCTGAGGTACCTAGGAATTCTTCTCTACATGGGAGCTCACCATGATATCATTAATCCAGTGGAAGAGCTTTGGTCAATCGACCACGGAAAATCTATTTATAGAAATAGCATGCCACGTGACATGTTTAAATTCATTTCTTCACACATCGAAACTTACGATGTGGGCCAGCCAGATGATGTTTGTGATGATGCATCAGACACTTCAGATGATGGGGATGTCGAAGAGAAAGAGGAGGCTGACAACGGACCAGAAGGAGAGTATTTCAACTGCGCGGAATATTCAGATCGAGATTTCAGAGATCTCTCTGAAGAGCAACTCAGGAAAGATGTCAGAATCAAAAGGGGCATTGTTGGTAGTGGAGTTGTTAAAGTCGTCCCTGCAATAACTCCAAATGCACACGACAGCTTTTCTAAAATTAGAGTGATTTTAGATAAGTTTATTTCTAACCTTGTCAACCAAACCTATTACAAACCTAGTAATAGTGTTTCGGTTGACGAACATTTGTGTTCTTATAAAGGGCATATGTGGGCTAAGGTGTTTATTAAGTCTAAGCCTGGACGTTATGGTATAAAGTTTTGGGTTTGTTCTATTTTTACCAAATGAGTTTTATTTATGAAGTCAAAAATGACGGATAGTTATTATTGGTTTGACATGTATGATCAAATTTAATAATTTAATTATTTGTTTATTTGAGTTATTTATAGTTTTCTAACTTGTAGATGTGTGCTGACTGTGAAACAGGAATGACTCTAAACCTCCAAATGTACTGTGGTAAGTGTGGTGGTAAGGAATACAATCAGGGCTTTAGAGTGGTCAGGGACATGGTGCTACCCATGTTATGCCGTGGTAACAAGTTTACAGTTGTGTGTGACAACTTCTTCTGTACGTTAAGGTTGTCACACTACCTTGCTTCATGTGGGTGCCAACTTTTGGGAACCATGAGGATTAATAGGAAAGAACTTCCTGACGAAGCCAAGGCAATCAAAGGAAGAACTCCCGATACCACCATCTTTTTCTCGAAAGGAAAGTGTAAGCTCATCTCTTACTTCAACGAGAAAAAGAAGCTGGTATTGGTCTTGTCAACCTGCCACGAAAAGAATGAAATTGAAGTCGTCGAGCAGGATGTGTTCATTGGCAAAGAAAAAATGACAATACACAAACCCCAGCCCATCCTTGATTACAACCACAAAATGGGTGGGGTTGACACTGTGGATCAGATGACCAGGTATTATACGTGTAGACGTCGAACAAACAGGTGGAACATCAGGGCTTTATATGATATGATTGATATAGCTGCCTTAAACGCGTATAAAACGTACTCAAATTACCACCCTTGCAAACGAGTGGATTTTTTGAACAATCTTTCTGGTGCTTTAATGAAAATGAAATGATTTTTCTATTTTGTTTGGTTTTTTATAAAGTAGGAACTGTTTATTTCATTCAATACGTGCTTTTTATTGAACTTCGAAAAAAATTATCGTGAAATAAAATAAAAATAAGGGTCATTATACCATTTTTTTTCTTTTATACTTATGGATAAGTTTTTAAAAACTTGTGTTATAACAACATCGTGATGTCGTTACTCAACACCATAAACAACCGTTGGTAAATTATATGCATGAGTATTATGGTGATAATGGTGTTATAATGGTGTTTGTTGATAATTCTATCAAATTGTAAATTTATTATTACAAAACTATAATTTATTAAATTTCCATTTTTATAAATAATATTTTTTATTATATAATATAGTTCAAAATATTTTTTTATTATTTGTTAAGTTTTTTGCTATTTGTTTTTTTGTTTATAATTTCTATTATCCCTTTATTTTTAATGTAAATTATTTGTTTGTTGCCCAAAAATGTATAATTTAAAAATGCATAAATAGTGAATGCAAAATAAGCATTTGATTATCATATACAATAACATTTATATGAAAATGATAATATCAAATCAATTTTGCCCTTTGTTTTTGTTTGAAAATGATAAAAAAATAAAATTACAAATAATTAATTCATATCTTGCTTCCTCGACAGTGGCACGACGTGAAATTCAACGGGTGACCATAAAACCTCATGGTGATCAAAGTTTATACAAACGCGACTATATTGACTGTTTAAGTCATTTTCGAGAATTTTTCTCGATTTTGTGATTTTTGATACTTTTGAAAATGTATTTTAGATATTTTTTGTTTATTTTACACTTATGTTCTCTAAGATTGTTTTTTTTAAAGTCGGAACAAACAAAAGTGTCTTTTCGTCTTATCTTATTTCTTTTACAAAAATATAGTAAAACCCAATTTTTAAATTATTGTATTTTTCAAAGTTTACAAAAAATAATCTATTTAATTTCCTTTGTAATTGTTTTTGAGATCAATTGCATAATGAAATTTCAATACACCTCAAAGTCTGTGCTTTATTTTCTTTTCTTTGTTATTTTATGATGCAATTGATTTTGAATATTCTGGACCAGTATGTTTTATGATGCAATTTGGTCTTTGTTATATTTTATAATTAATTTTATTATTGTAAGAGATTGTGGTCATCTCAATAAATGTTTGATCTAATTTTTCCATTGAACTGTGACTTGTTTCTGAAAAGATCAAGCAAAAAAAGTGAACCTTTGTTCATCCCAACTTCAACAAAAAATTCACTTTTTTACTATAATTTATAACAATTTACCATAAAAATTTACTAGAGCCGTCGTTCCAGGGTGTCTAGCTTTTTTGAAAAAATTAAAGAAAAAAAGGTCACATGTACATTACAATTGACTAAGATTTTTATTTTTTACACATTTTGATTTTTCCCGTCCTCGAAGGGTTAAACAGACTTTTAGTGTAATAATATTAGTTAACATTATGTCGCGTTTTAAAACAAACTTGATAATCAAACAGAAGATGTTTATTTATTTCATATGATAAATGTGTTTGAACTAATTGTTGCACCACTATCCACGTTTTCAATTGTGTTTGACAGTCAACATAAAAAGTTTTTAATTCAATACTTACTGTTGAACATATGTTTTATTACAAATATAAAATAAAATAATAAATAATAATTATATAAACTTTGGTAAATTTGTGAAAGAAAAATTCTTTGATATAAAATTTTTATATTTTTGTAAAAGATGTGCTAAAATTTTGATTTTTGCCGTTATTTTAGTTTTTGTGTGTTTTTTGGTTAAGAAAGAAATTGAAGTATAACTAAAAATAATATGGATTTATGCTATTTATTGAAATCACAATGTAATCGAGTTCTTAAATCTTGCCACGTGGGGACGGGGGTTTGAAATTTTGAGAGCCCTGATTGTAAATCCCATATTTATGACCCCCTATTAAACTGAGATTCCAACTATAATATTTATTTCGAACATTTCGTAAAAATAGAAAAACAGTAAATTGTATTAAAAGAATGGGGACGAGAAATAATCATCAAATGAGTTACTTGAAGATTAACATGGAGTTGTGCAAAGGATGTGGTATGTGTGCACGTGACTGCATAGCACAATGTCTCAAAGTGGAAAATCACAAGATCACGATTGTCGAAGAAGAAGCTTCAAACTGCTTTAAATGTGGACACTGTTCTTCAATTTGTAAAAGCAAAGCAATCACTCTCTTTGAAAAACCACTTGAAAAAGTTCCAGAAGGACATAAAGATGTCATAGATGCAATTAAAACAAGAAAATCAACAAGATCTTTTAAAGGCCCAATCCCCAAAGAAGAGTTGACTGAACTTATCAATTTGACAAGATTCTCCCCTTCCGCCAAGAATTGGAGATTAATCAAATATCTTGTAATAAATGAGCCAAAGCTAACAAAGGTAATTAAAAAAATAAACGAAGTAGCATTGCAGATTCCAGAAATCGTTAATATCTTTGGTAACTTTTTGAGTGTCGATTTGATCGTCAGAAAGGCTCCACACGTTGTTATTGCTTCGTCGAAGACACTCAAAATGTTTGGGCAAATGACGATGGAACTATTGCTTTAACCCGACTTGCAGCAACCAACAAAATGTATGGCTCTCTTTGGTGTGGTTTGTTAAAGTTCATGTTTTTATTTGATGAGTGTCTTGAGATTGTTGGACTAAAAGGAAAGAAAGTGGTTGGATGTTTAGCTTTGGGTGTTCCTTCATTCCACGACACCAGTCAAGTACCAAGAGAGGATGTCTCAATCATCTTTTTAGAGTAAGCAGAGTGCTTAGTCTATTTGTGGGTTAAATCTTATTGATACAATAACTATTATTTTATATAAAATAATAACAGACAAAGACTAAATATAAAACAAATTCAAAATTGTTATTAGATTTGAAATTTTTTATTAAAAAAATAAAACACTAAAATGATTCTAGTACTTATTTACTATATATTTATTAACTACAATAAAAAATAGAAATTATAAATTAAAATTATAATTATAATTATAATTATTATTTTATAGTTTTTATTATATCAATATTTATTTATTGAAATATTTTTTTATCTTACAAAACGAAGAGTAAAGTAAAATAACAAAAAAAGTTGAAATTGGTGTGGTTGGGTCAAAGAATATGAGAGAGTATGAGTGAAAAAGGGATAACGCTATTTATAAGGGAGAGTTTGAAAGTCAAAACACAATGGACTCAGTCAGTGAAGAGGAACATCAGTATCCTTTTGAGCTTTTGGTTGCTATCCAAATGAACTTTGGAAAGAAAATTCCTCTTCAGATCATCAGAGACACACTTACAAGAAACAACAACGATCTCTTTCTTTCGCTTAAAGAAATAAACGAGTCTATGTCTAAAATTCAACAGAGAAAAGTGGCTGTTCTTGAGGAATAACTTGATTGTTTTTTTGTATCTCTTTTCGAAACACTCTATCAACTATATATATAATACTTTCAATAGTATTTTAACTATTTTATTAATTTGTTTGTTTTGCTTAATATATATAACTATTAATAATAATAATTAATTGGATTATAAATTGATTGTTTAAAATATAAAGAGAACCAATATGATTATTTCCTTTGTTTATGGAAACTAAGACAAAAAACATTCTATGATACTTAAGGTATTTTCGAAACTCAAGTCCCATTCGACATAATGGGCTGCTCAACACTCTCACTGATTATCATTGCGATATTTCTCCCACCACTCGCTGTTCTTCTGAAGAAGGGATGTGGGTGCGACTTTCTCATCAATTTACTTTTGACTATCATCTTGTACCTACCAGGTCTCATCCACGCCATCATTGTGATTACATAAATGGTTTTTATTTGTTTATTGGATTTACACAATTAAAATGTTTATGAAGAAGATAACAATTGAAACTTTACAACAAAGTTGGATGGATAATAATCACATTAAAAGACATAAATTATTTTAACACTATATGTTCACACAAACATGTGTTTTTGGATTTCGTTATCATTATGGCATTAACGTTTTATTACCCAAATTTCTCGATAGTCAATCATTTTTATTATTATGATAAAAATTGAATAGACAACAATAACTTAAAACAAATACAATTTAATAATTGTGTTATCTTTGTTGTTTTTATTGTATATTCTATGTACATATATTGAGTGTTAATTTAAAAGAGTGATATGTTCAACAAAAAAGTTCGATCTACATGTAAAAACAAACCAAAATAATTTGTATATTATGTCAATTATATAATACACTTGTTTAAAGTTGTTATATTCTTATCATACAGTTAGTTTTAAATTAATTTAAAAGTATTCAACAAATATACATGATTGTACCAAATGAAATTAAAATATTATCAAAATAAACGCAAAGTGTTTAACAAAAAAAAACAAAAATGTATTGTTTTTTTCAAATGTCTCAACTTAATTTTTTTTGTTTCGAATAAAATTGTTTATATACAAATTTGAATAAAAATTATCTCATATCTTTAATGAAAAACAATAGAAATATACAAATGGAATATAGAATACTAGTAACGTTTTAGATGTTATAACTAACTTCTCACTTTGTAAAATCAGTACACTTGATAAACAATTTTAATACTGATTTACAATATAATAACAAACTTCAAAAAATAGTAACAGTTCTCTATTAAATAATAAATTAAAATTGTTTTTATTTCACGCTTTTAATAAATGTTATTAAAAATGTTATTAATTGTGTACTATAATAATTAATATTGGATGATATATATTATGATAATTATTAATATATTATCAAAATATCAACAAAAAACAATAATATAATTTAATTCTTTTTTCCATAAGAAAAACCCAAAAGATTAGTTTAAAATGGTTACAAATTGAACTATACAACTAAAAAGAGAGAAAACTAAAAACGCGAAGAATGGAATATCACTTAGTAGGCTCCAAAATAGTTGACACAACATCGTACGATCAATGGATTAAACTTGCGCAATCAAACGAAGATTTTCAAATTTTAGCGGTTTGTTAATACATATCAAACCCCAATACCACAATTAATAACTGAAAGGACAAAGAAACCCTCCAAAAAATTGTTCACTCGTTTCAACTGCAATTGAACAAACAGTGCAGAGAGTATTTTGTTCAACAATATATGGTTCGGATGGTAGCAGTTGAAAAGGAATTTAATAGGAAGTATAATGTGTTAAACGAACAATTAATACAAGCACAAAACGAACTCGAAGCTGCAAAAGAAGAGCAGAATACACTCAAACGAACGGTTTATGCTCTTCAACAAAAGAAGTTGTTACTCGAACAAAAGTTGGCCGAAGTCAATGCAACCTATCAAAGTGTAGCAGAAATGAATGGACAGGCAACTCTTGAACAACTCTCAAATATTCACTTTCTTGAGAAGAAGTATGCAGAATTAGAACAAGAAGTCGCACAGAAAAAACATTATTACGACGAGATATATCACCAATATGTTTACTTTCAAAATGAGCTTGGGCAAATAAAGGCCAAGATACAAAAATACACTGCACTGCTGAGTCAAAGTCGTTAAATGTGTGAATTCCTTATTGGTCTTTTTAATAGTAATAATAATAGTATTTATTTATTATTTATTAATACTATTAAGTAACTAGTAATTATTTATGCTAATACTAACTCGTCTTATTCAAAAAATCAATCAATTCTTACTTCGGGTGAATTTTTTCTTCGGTTTGTCTTTTCTTGACTTTTCATTCTTACCAGACTTGGGCTTCTGAGGGAATTTGATTGACCCTTTAAACTCGCCTTTATGCTTTTCAACAGACACGGAAGTTGGGATTCGTCCCTTCAGTTGTTCTATGTCCTTCAACTCATATACGTTATCATTGATGACAAAATCGTCTCCACTCACACCAAGCTCTTTCAACTTCATTGCGCGTTCTCGAAGAATCTCTTTCTCTGCTGTATCTACTTTGTCCTCTTGATGCTTCTTCTTTGCGACTTCTTCTTTCACCTTTTCAGACTCGTCGTCACTTTTCGACTTCTCTTCTTCCATTTTGGGGTTTCCTGCACTCTCCTGTTCACCCTTTTCTTCATCACTCTCCTCTTCCATTGCATTGTCCGCCTTCTTTTTCTTCTCGTTTTTTGCCTCCTTTTTCTCTTTTGTTTCTTTCTTTTCTTTACTCGCCTGCTTTGCCTTTTTGTTTAAAAAGTCGAGCACCTTCCTCATCACTTTATTGAAAAGCCCCATCACTTGATTTGTTGGGATGTTCAAATCCTCTGCAACTTGGTCGACGTTTTTGTACTGTAACCCCATACCAATTAATATGACTTGTTGTGTCACTGAAAATCCAAAGTCGCATCCCATTACAAAGGCATTAGCAATTGCGGGCAACATGTCTATAATGATGTGGTAATCAATCATATTCTTACTGTAATATTCTATTCGTTTGATATCTCTCACACCAAAATTGATATCCCCTCTTTCTTTCATACTCTCGGGAAGGGTCTTCAGATTCGGAACTACCAATTTCAAAGCGTCAGTCGCATTGACACTCTTAAATTCAAATCCTAACAACTTCGAAAACCTAACCCTAAAGTCATTCGAATACTCAGAGCTCCACTCCCCAAACGTTTTACTCAATTGTTTCACCATAATACACGAGTGCTCTCCAGTTATATCATTCGCCGTTTGCCTGAAATAGACGGGGGTATACTCCGCATTGCCCCAGAACTTTGCAAGCTGTGGGGTGTATCCAAACGCAACACCCAAGTAGTCCAACACTTCTGGTTTTCTATTTCCAGGGTTAATAAGAAGTGGGCCGAGATGCTTTCGAACATCAACTGATTTCTCTTTAGTGTCTTGTTCTGGGGTTTCCTCTTCCATATCACCCAACGAGACAATCATTCCAGTAAAATACAAATTGAGCATTTGGAGGATTTTAGAACCATACCCCATAGATGTCACATCAGGATGAGTACAAATCCTAACCACTCTCGCACCAGTCAACCCTGCAAATTCATCGTCCAAGAACTGTTGTGTTAAAGTCCATGGAATCAAATCACCCGCTTCTTTCTTCCCATGGCACCAACTCTTGGACACTTTCTTCCTTGCTATTTTGCCTTCAAATGCTAATTGGACTGCAGCCAAAATGTCCGGCAATTCGCCGTCGTCGCCGACTGGCCCAGTCAACACGAAAATGCAATGATTTGGTGAGTCTGCAAGGAGTTGCAAATCATTCGGTGTGTTCTTATAATGGGATGTCACAAAGAGTCCAACAAGTTGTTGCAAGAACTTCTCTGCGTCTTTGTTGTATGAAAACAGAGTGTCTCTATTGACATAGAACAACTCGCATTGTTCTGGTGGTGGAGTAGTCGTGACATGTAATAAAGTGTTTGATGCATCAAGACAGAGCAAATGGTTCAACCACTTTTCGACTTGGTCGCCGCTAGCGTATCTAATAGGTTCATCCAACGCGTATTCAAAAAACTTTCTCCCATTCGAATACTTCGTAGTGCCTTCTCTCAATTCCTTAATAAGTTTCAATGAGAGTGAACGTCCAGTTCCTTCATATCCGTTCGTTGTAGTCGACAAGATGACTATATAGTTCCCAAGTAATTTCTTAACTATTGGCAAAGGAATAGCAGCGGCTTCGTCCACCATTAAAATCTCTGCTTGAGCCAACATAGCGGTGTCTGTTGGTAAAATGTATTGAACAGTTTGTCGGTGATCCTGATGAATATTAATCCTCACAACAGACTTCCCAAATTCACTTCTTTGCGTTTGCACTAAGTCAAAGTCTAAGTGCTCTTTCATCCCAAATATCTCAAGACCCTTCACTGCAAATTCAAACACCGTTTTGACATTCTCCGGAGAGGGCGAAGTCACAAAGATGTTGGAATATCCAAGCGCAACAGAGCACGCTATAGTCAATCCAAGCGCTGCACTCTTTCCTCTTCCTCTTCCCGCAGTAATTGATATAGTCGAGTTCAAGGTCTTCTCTTTCAAACAGTCAAATAACTTCACAACACACTTTGCCTGGTCTGCAGTGACTGTAGTCTTCACAATTTCGTTGAGGTACTGTATTTGTGAGAATGAATTTCTGATATCAAGTAACTCCTGTCGGATCTCGACCTTTCCTTCAACTTTATCGATCTTCAAAGAATGCTCAAAGATGGGAAGAACGTCTAACTCATCAGAGATGACCACAGAGCACAAATTGTCGGACAATGACAACACAAATCGTTCGTTAAATCGCGAAGAGACTAAGTCAGTTGACTCGTCCCGGTATCTATCATTGATGTCCATGTTCAGTTTGTACAACTGTTTAATGCTCGTCATTCCACTGAGTAAGACTAATATGATTCCACCACCTTTAACAGTCTCAATAGTTCGTGCCATGATGTTTGGAGTCATCGCTTCAAAGTCTTGAAGAACAACCATCCCAAATGTGTTACCCAGAATCTTATGAGTTTCATTGTAAAAGACGTATCTGATGTCGGTCGTACTCAAAAAGAGTTCAAACGCATTCCCACTGAATTCCTCAGCATTCTTTCCTTTGTCTCGAACACGGCGCTTGGCATTGGTACTGAACCCAAGGTCCTTCTTGTAGCACCACAAAATGCGCTCTTTTGGTGTGTTCATCGCTTTTGTCATCATGTAATACAAATTCATCACTTGTTGTGACGCTTTGCTTCCTACTACGGTAATGAGTGTACGTTGGCCGGTGCTCACACCGTTCTCTATAAGGGTTTTAAGACGAGTGTCAACACGCTTTTTTGACATTAACTTGCTTTGCTTACTGTGAGTTCATTATTATTCTTAGGGTTACTCTTATCCTATGTTGTTCATTATCGTGTTATTGTACCTTTCTTTAGTACTATTTATCGGGTTTTGATAATTTATTAAAAATATAATTTGTTATTGATATATAAATAATTAATTGTTATTTTTATTATTATTCTTATATAATAAACCATATTTAAATTATTATATTCAAATAATAATTATACTAAACAACAAATATAATTAGTTTTATTAAAACATATAGATTAAATACTATAATTATAAAATTTGTTTTTGAAGAATGAAGTTTAGGAATATGACACTCAATGAACTCAAAAAGTCATGAGTATCACACAACAAAGTGACGAAATAACAAATGTGTGTATAGAGGAGTTAGTGCAACGTGAAAATGTATCGCCCCAATTTAAACAGCTCGTGGAAGATTATTACAAAACGCATCATGGCACAACAGAGAAAGTGGTTAATGTGGCAATTCCAGAAGATTTGCTCAATCAAATGTTGACTGAATATGCGACGAGAATTGATTTGATGCAATTGAAAGAGGGGCAATGCTATTTGCCTTTTTTACAGGGCTTAACGGGATTCAAACAGTACAAGTTACTTGGGGAATTCGATGGAAAGACCCTTGCAACACCAAATAAGGTATTTGATTTAATTGAAAGCCAGAAAGATATCATGTTCATCATTACATCGACAGACAAAGATATATTTGGCTCGTTTCACCACATTTTGCCCGTTATACAAGGAAACTATGTGGTGGGTGATGAACAGATGAAAGTGTTCTCTTTGCTTAATCCGGAAAAGACACCGCCCATTTACTTTAAGGCCAGAAAGGATAACAACCATTTGCTATTTTTCCCACGACCTAACCAAAAGGATACGGTTTTATTCTTCATAATGAATTGTTTTGAAATCAGAATGAAAAAATCAAATCTCGAAACATTTGAAATTAGAGGAACAAAGTTGAGCGACGCTTTTGAGACGGAAATGGACTCTTTTAATTTCGCCAATTCACCTTTCGACGTTATGTATCTCAGAATTTACCAGTGGTACTAATCATTGGTCTTTTATTCATTATAATACAATATTTTATTAATAACTTATTAATAGTTAAGTTCTATAGAGTATATATTTTTAGTATATAGAACCATAAAATATTCTATATTGATAATAATAGAGTCACTGATCTTATTGAAAAGTTACACAAATGTGTTACTCATTATAAAAATAATATATAAAACACTTATGACGTCGATAACTGTGTAATATTTATAATCTAACACAACGTGTAGTTTTAGTTTGCAAACTTATAAAAAAGTTGTTCATCTAAAAACATCAGATGAGTGATACAGAAACAAAAGAAAATAAAGAGGGTTTTAATATCTGTGGGTTTTCTGTATTGGAATTCTTTCTTTGTTGTTTCTGTCCACCTCTAGCTATAATTATCATGAATCTTTGCTGTGAAGATGGTGAATATTATAAAAAGGAGTTTATTTGTCCAGGTTTATTATATTCCATATTTTGTTGCCATATCGGTTATCTCTTTTATAGTCTTGCAAAAGAATGTCCTTAATTTACTCTTTAAATACATTCTATTGATTCTATAATAAAGGTATAAATTCAGAGTGTTTATTCAATTTACTACTTTCAGTAGAGTCTATTATTATTTTTAAAAATAATTTAAAAATAATAATATATAATTTTGTTTGAAAAACAATTTAATTGCAAATTAATAATTGTTTTAACCATATTTGGGAGTCCTCAATATTAATTTGATTGTCAACGATTCAGTCAAAAATAAAAGAAGTGAAGCTATTATCCATCAACAAAGAAAAAGATTTTTTGGTAGGCAAAAAAATCTTAACACTCAAATGGCCCAAAGCTAAAAAATATAATTTTTCAAATAATTCTTTACCAAATTTGATTTTTGCCTTTGTTTTCAAAATGATATTCGATAGAATTCATACAAAAATAATTTAGAAAGTGAAGACATAATAAAACAATTATTTTGTATGATTATAATAACATAAAATAAATATTATAGAATTATTTAAAATTTGGAAAAAAATGATGTTTGGAGAATTAGAAACTTTTATAAACAATTGTTTTATAATATTAAATAAATAACTAACTAAACTGTTTTATTTATTGTTTGAACGCTTAAATCTGGCACAAATGAATTTAGGAAACCCGCATTAGTTTTTTCTTTTTTCTTTTATTTTACAATCTTTTACTAAAAATACGTTTTTGCTTATATATATATATATATTTTCTGTTGTTTCAGAACAAAACTGTACCAATTATCATGTTCACACGTTGAATATTGCTTTTTGTTGTACTCTTGAAATGACACTAAAAAACGACGATAAATTTACACACGATGTTGAGATAACGAATCCTGTATTATCTGCAATCATTAATTCCTATTGTGTTAATTGATTATTTTTCGTAATGACAATTACTATTTTTTATTACCCAACTTTTTAGTAAATTGTGTTTTGCTTTTTACGACAAAAATGGGGTTTTCCAATATGCCAGATTTAAGCTTACAAACAATATTTTTTATTTATTTGTCTTATTAAATTGTAATAATTTTAATAGATTATTTTTTTGTTTTTTTATTTAAAATCTATTTTTAATGACATGAACTAAATCTTCAATAAAAAACAAAATATTATCGAATTAAAAAGCAACTTGCTGTTCATTTAGTCAACACCAACGTAAATTAAATTGAGTTTGTTATGATTCATTTTCGTATTATTAATATACTTCTTATTTATTGACAAGATTTGTTTTACGTTTATTTGATATTTTATTATTCAATAAAACAAATTTGGGGTTCTGAAATATAGTAAAATATCACAAAAGTGGCACTTTGGAAGAGCGGGGTTTCTCAATAGAAAGCAGTTTAAACTGAAACAAAAATCGAGTTCTCTATAGAGTAGTAATTAAATTTGATTGTCTAAAATGACCGTTCTTGAGAGAACAAAAATTATCATAACTTCCCGCTCTTGAAAAGTTTGACTGTGTTTTTTTAAAAAAATACGTGTTGCTATTTTTAACCTCAAAAACAAATCTTAGGTAATTGAGTCCTCATTTTTATTATTTTTGACTAAGTTTTGGTTCATTTTTCGGTTTTTCGGCCAAAAATTGGTTTTTGGGTCTTTTTTAACAACTTTTTTCAAGAAGGCATTTTTTGATATTGTTATTATTCTAATCATGGTTCGAAAATTTTAAAAACATGACCAAAAAAATTTGTTTACACGTCAGAATACTTTTTTATTGCCGAAAGGGTTAAATTATTCAGTAAAAAACAGCCTCTTTCAATCTAAATTAATGAGAATTGATAGTAATAATTTCCCTAATCGCAAAACATTATAACCAATATCAAACCTTTTTTACTTTGAAAATCGGGATTATTTTTGAATTATAATATATCAATTTTCTCTGCATAAACAGGATAATTTAAATAATTATTAGGATAATTTCGTGTTAAAAAAACTACAAAATCGGGCGATTTTTTAAAGAAACAAAACATTATTGATCGTTGTAGAAGATTCTTTTTTTAAATCCATAAAAAACATTGAAACCCTGTTTTATAGAAACAATATAAAAATTGAAAAAATCAACCAATAAATGAATAAAACAAAATACAATAAAATTAAAACAGTTTCCCGGTTTTATTAACAATATTTGGGAGAGCCTTTGGGAGAGTCGCTTAACCTTATAATATGAATTGTTTACCTTAAATTAAGCTTGAATTTTATTCTAGTAATTAGATGAATGTTTGTTTCTTTAGAAACCCCGTTTTTTATCATTAAACTATATTTAATTATAATAAAATTATAATTTATTAGTAAATGATAAGTAGGTTTTCGAATTACTTTTGACTTAATTAAACTATTTTATATAGTTTAAATTTTTGTGTTATTTGGAGATCACATTACATTTTTTTGTTATTGACAAATAATGATAATATTAACAATATGTATTAATAATTTAAACTATTTTCAATAAATGATATAATTTTAATAATCAATAAAAAATAATACAGTCAATACTCTATCGGATTGAAAATATGTAAAATGGTTTTCCCAAAGGATGGGAAAATAAAAAAAATATTTATTTT